TGGATTACAGATTGTGACCCTCCCCATCCCTTCGCCGCCTCCCCCCCCCTCAAAATGACATCACCTCTGGGTCTCCTTTCCCAAGGTGGAAATCAGCCTCCAGAGCAGCTTGCAGCCTGGCATGAAACTGGAGGTGGCCAACAAGCACAACGTGGACACTTACTGGGTGGCCACCACCATCGCCACGTGTGGCCAGCTGTTGCTGCTGCGCTATTGTGGTTACGGAGATGACCGCCGGGCGGACTTCTGGTGTGACGTGATGACGGCGGACCTCCACCCGGTGGGCTGGTGCACGCAGAACGGGAAAGTGTTGATGCCGCCCGACGGTGAGTCAGAATTAATTTGTCAAGTTTCTAGTCCTGGTGATGAAGAGATTTGGAATTCTGGGTATTGTAGCCAGCCATATCTAGAATCTATTGACTTTTTAAGTTTTTAAAAGTCAGATTTCTCCCTGTTCTATCCAGGCAATATTAAAAGTACATCTTTTCTACCTTATTCCACTCGCTTCCGTCTGTTATTTTGTTTTCTCCCGTTACGTTTCACCAGACTTGCATCTCCCATTTCAAGCATGTGGTTTTACCCTGTAATATCAAAGTGTGGACCAGCCTTAGTTTCCCTTGTGAAATATTCAGCAATCCGTCTGGGCCTTTTTAAAATTCCATTTTTTTTTTACTTTCTTTGAAAAACGCTTCTGATTTCCTAGCAACCTCCAAATAACCTGTGGGCGAAGCAAATAATAGCAAGAAAATGTACAATTGGCTTCAGAAGGCAAGCTAGTGGCCCATAACTATTTCTAAATAATATTTTGAGTGCGTTGAACTGCCGAGTGGAAATTTACGGAAGATTTAATGAATACCAATGTTGTGCTAACACAGGGTTTTTTTCAGCGGCACACAAGTTAGTCATAAAAGAAACAGCTAAGAGGGTTTGTTTACAGGCTTAAATGCAGCTAATTTTATCAACTTCTCTAAGCAACCTTGAGACTTGGCGTGGGGGCCTTTGGGCTGTGTGTGTGTGTGTTGTGTGTGTTGCATTTTGAGCTGAGTCGCTTTCTGTGTTTTCTATGGCCTCTATTAAAGTTACACTACTGAGAGCTGTGTTTGGCTTGTGTAATTTGATGAAAATTGTCTGTTTCTCCTCCATCCCCTGGTGAACAGAGAGAGATTTATTTTGCAATAAATCTGGGTTAAGGAAATCAATTGGATCCTTTTGGAAGAAGCTGAATTCACAGGGCTATTTTGAGACAGCAACTAGGAAGGATATTTACAAGAAAGGAAGGGAGGGAAGGAAGGAAGGAGGGAGGGAGGGAGGGAAGGAAGGAAGGATTAGAGCAGTGGTTCTCAACCTTTTTAATGCCGTGACCCCAACCGGTTGTAAGTCGAGGACTAAACCAGTCATAAGTCGAGGACTAAACCGGTCGTAAGTCGAGGACTACCCAACCGGTCGTAAGTCAAGGACTTTCCCTGCCCGGGAGCGCCGCGCATGCGTGGTTCCGCCCCCTGCGCCAGCTGAGGCGTAGCTGGCAAGCGGCAGAGACGGAGCAGGCCGACCACTAGCTGGCCCAGCCCAAGGGAGGTAAGGCACCCGCCGGAAAAGGAGAAAAAATGGCAGACAAAAAAAATGGCGGACAGCGTTGCTTGGTGACCCCCATGAAATAGTCGATCGACCCCAAATGGGGTCCCGACCCACAGGTTGAGAACCACTGGATTAGAGGGAAGGCAGAGAAGGATAGGGAAGAAGAAAGGAAAGGAGGGAGGGATTAGAGGGAAGGAAGGAAGGAAGGAAGGAAGGAAGGAAGGAAGGAAGGAAGGAAGGAAGGAAGGAAGGACTTGGCATAATACAGTATAAGAGAAACTTGACTTTAGCAGTAGTATACTTGAAAAGGAAGGCTCTGGGTGTCCTGGTACATCATAATTAAATTTAATTTCATTACATCACAATGAAAATTAATCAACACTTCATGAGTCCCCACGATAGTATCGATCAAAATGCAAATGCTATTTGTGAATATAATATCGGGTTCGCAGAATCCAGACTCTGAGAAACCATTGCCCTGAATCTGCTTAGGAAGTGACGGGCCCAAAATCAAGAAGGAACACAGGTTGTGATTCTTCCAAGCTCAATTCTTTACTGTTTCACACCTACGGGCAAACTCTTGCCCCAACTCAAAGGCTCTATTATTCTCTGCATCTACAACAGACAAGTCAAACACAACGCCCCGGGGGCCGGATGTGGCCTGCGAAGTGGTTTCATGTGGCCCGCAAAGCCATCTTGGAGACAATGAGGGAACAGCCCCCGCTGCCTTGGCCCTGGTCCAGGCTGGCCGGGAGCCAATGTACAATTTTGTGGTGGCCATTAATGCTGAAACGCATTCAGTCTTAGCTCCACAAGGCCGTCCGGAAACAGCGAGGAACCGGCCCCTGCCGTGTTGGCCCTGCCCCCTGGGTGCATGCTGGGGAGGTGTCCCCCTTTGTGAGGAATGAAGAAATGGACCATGCCTTGGCGCTTGCCCCGGTCCCACCCCCTTCTGCCAGAGACCCTCAGATCTGTCCCACTCCTGCCCAGGCCCCCACAGGCCCCCTTGACGCGAACGATGTAGAGCTGGCCACGCCCATCCAGTAGGCCACACCCACTCCATCCACACCCACCCAGTAGGCCACACCTACCCTGGCCACACACCCCCGAGGGCAACTGCAATGCTTATGTGGCCCTCCAAGAAATTGAGTTTGACACCCCTGATCTACAACATAATAATAATAATAATAATAATAATAATAATAATAATAATAATAATAATAATAATAATAATAATAATAATAAAAAAGTTGGAAGGGACCTTGGAGGTCATCTAGTCCAACCCCCTGCTCAGGCAGGAAACCCTATACCATTTCGGACAAATGGCTGTCCAGTCTCTTCTTAAAAACTTCCAGTGTTGGAGCATTCACC